CCCCTTTCATGGCCAACGGGACAACATAATTGTGCACAGCAATTGTAGCTACCGCCGATGACCCATGCCGCCTTCGCTTGTCAAGCACCGCGTACGCACGTGTGACCACATTCACAAACCCCCCGGCGCCGATCGAAATTTACCTCTTCACTGATTGGCTGCAGTCGGGTGAAGCTCAAATGGCTGCACTTCGTTTTTCACCCACCTGGTGGGAGCGATTGTGATAACTGCTTTTTGGGCGTTCTGTACGCTCTTTTGCTTCAACAGACGCATGTCTAGCTTCATTTGTCTTCCCATGACTAGTGATTTGGGCAGCTTTGTTTGCAGACAATCGCATCTTTCGAAAAATTTGTCAAGAGTATCGAAATTCTGAGGTTTGGAGCCGCAAGTTCTGGCCTTTACTGTGTAGTTGGGGGACGCTTGCCATTTATGGTAAGTTCAGTTCAACCGAATCTTGGGACGTTTTGGACTACTCAGTTCCCTGCGCTTAGTCGTTCTTATTGGATTATTTCTCAGTACCGGTACAGTCGACCTCACTTTGTAGTGACTCCACCTCCGGCGACACGCCAGGCATGAGGTCACGTGATCGCACGCCTCGCTTTGCCTCTGGGGCAGCCAGTCACAGTTACCACGAACGCTTGAATCTCGCGGCGATCACTAACACGCGCGCACTCATTGGCTGACCCAGTCCGTCCGGCCAATCGCTTTCAAGGTCAATTCACAAAGGACCTCACTGTGATGACTGCCTATGCTTCCACCACTTCGGACTCGGCGCCCTAGCGGCCGGACTGCAGTCGTCCGTCAGTCAACTTCCTCCTGCCTTTCCTTCATTTCTTCTGCATATAATAAACTATTCCTATCACTCTGACGTCTCACTTCTTCCCAGTCCAGGGGCAGCGGGCCTAAAGATCACACAGCCTAGGGTTTAACCTACAAATCTAGCCTCCTCCGATAGGTTTACTGCATGGCGAATAATTGCCTTCGCTGCAGTCGATCGGCACCGATCGTGGAGCGATTTGGAGCCATCTGCCGCGCCAATAACGCAACCATCGCTAAGGTACTCCTGACATCTTTTACCACATAATTTGTTGCCCACAGGATCGACTGCAGTCCACACCCGACTTCGGCGCTTCTCCGCAGTTGC